GTGTGTTTGGGGCTGAGGTATAGCTGAATGCCAGGTAGAGCTACTGATACCGGACTATGCTGTGGAACTTCTTGACCTCTGAGTGAAGTTAACTCACAACTACATGCTGCTACAGACACCTAGTTCTACAGCTTTAAACTTCTTCCCCTCCCTCTTTAAACTAGAATGTCAAGAGGTGACATCCCAGCTGTTGGTTGGGTTTGGTTTTTTTTTTTGAATGATGGACTGTGTCTAAATCAATGTATAAGAACCAGTTGGTTTTGAACAGTATTTTAATAATATATGCATATTCATTTGAAGTACAAGAAAGTAACACTAGCATAAAAGGGGGTTGTCTTACATATGCTAGAGTTGTCTTTTTTTTTTTTTTTTGACATTACATTGAAGTATGGGTAGTCTACATAATATGTTCTTCAAATACTAGAAAGCTCCACAAAGACAGATGGCACCGGTGAAAACAAGAGACCGGCAGTGGTATGATGTTGGAATTTTTAAGAACAACAGCGCTGTGGTGAGCCAGTTCTACTTGCTGCCAGAGGAAACACTGAGCATCCCTAACAAGGTAGCTGCTAATTCTTCTCTGACATAAGTTGCACATACATATTTTGGAATCTGTTGCTCATATGGTTGACAACAAAATGTGGGATTTTCTGATACTGCAGCTGGATCTGGTGCTTGTAGGAGTTTTGTATTTTGTGACCAGTAGTTCCTCATGTATTTTGCTGACCTTTTTTTACTATTTCCTAAGTCACATGAATTTTCTTCTGTTGTTTTTGTATGATAATATGGAATGTCTTATTTTTGCTATTGCTAATTCTTTCCATATTTCTGTTTCTAGCCTTAGGAAAGATTTTTAAATGGTGAACTTTCAAACCAGTAAAAACTCTTAGAAACTAAAAAAAAAGCCACAACTTTTTACGATGTTATTTCAGTACAGCATTGAAATGTTTCGATCAAGGTTTCTTCTCTGTTTCCAGAATCTTTGCTTACAAATGGTTAGAGACTAATAAGACATAGGCTAGGCTGTTTAAAAAGACTAGATATGGAACTGTAGTGGGTTTTGTATTAGACTTCTCTAATTTAATGTTGTTGCACATGTAAGTTTATATAGGAAAATGTTATTCGTGTGAAACTTACAAAAATGCTGCAGTTTTGATGGTGAAAGTATAAATTAATGATGTCCTAGTGAACTAGAAACAAAAATTATGGGTATATGTTTTCAAGACAGAAACAAAAGAACAGAACACTTTCTTTGGAAGCAATTCACTACAAATATTGTGTATCTTGGTTTTAAAGAGTGTAGTACACTTTACAGTGTTTACATTGATTGTGGTTTCTAATACATTATTCATAAAGAAAATACTTCCATTGGAAGTTTCAAGGATGCATCAATGCATATTTTAAATGTGGAAGTACAGTAGCACATAATGTTTCAGAAACCTATTTGTTACTAACTTACAGTGCTTTTCTTTAAAAACATTTTGATTACCTACACATCAAAGCGCAACTGCAGGAATAGGAATATAGAAATAACTGTTCTTGAAAGAAAAATATTTTTTAGGACAGAAGAGTATGCTAATGGAATCATAAGTTATACTGTTGGAAACGCTACTTTGCTTTTACTTACCCAAGTAAAAATAACCAAGAGGTGCAGTTCAATTTAAATGACTGAAAAATGGGGGGGTTGGTTAGAGATGTAGTCTCATATTGCATCTTGGAACAGCTGTTTTGAGGTGAGATAGTGTCTCAGTCAGAACCTTTTTGTAAATTCTGATTTAAGTACAAAAGTATTAGTTAGATTTTCAGTTTCAATTAAATATATTAATCCCAGTTTATCACTACCCACTTCATATTTTTTAGGCTAATTGTGCTTAAAATATTTTAAAAATTAACACAAATGTTGCATTGTTTTCAGATGGAAAGTGCAGATGTACCAGACTACAGATTACTTAAGAAACAGGATCTTTTTCCAGGCACAGTGTACAGGTTCAGAGTTGCTGCAATTAATGGCTGTGGTATTGGGCCTTTCAGTAAAATCAGTGAATTCAAGACTTGTATTCCGGGTTTTCCTGGAGCTCCTTCAACAGTCAAAATCACCAAGGTGAGAAATATAGGTAATTCTAGTTCTGATGTATAAAATTCTGGTCACAAGCTTAATCTCAGAACTCTTGGTTTTGTTGTTGGGGTTTTTTTCAGGTAAAATTGTCATATAAAATAGTGTCAAATGCTTACTTGGTTAATTCTGCTCAATGTAATTATCTTTAAGAAATTTACTATAAAGAATTATTTTAAGACTTTAATGATCATGTTACCAGATACACATCTTAATCATCTGATAGTTTCCCCATGATTTTCTCTTAAATCTATAGGGGTTTACTGTGCTTTTTTAAAAAAAAAGTCAAAAGATACATCCTTACCTCCAAAGAGTGATGATCTTAGGTTAGAATTTTCAGATGGTCTTTAGAGGGGGTTTTTTGTATTTTTATATATATGTATTCAAGTATCTAATGATTACCTACATGCTATTGCATTTTCTCCCTTTTTCTTTAGAGTGTAGACTGTATTCATCTTTCTTGGGAGCCTCCTGCTTCACCCTCTGGAAATATTTTAGAATATTCTGCCTACTTAGCAATCCGTTCCACACAATTACAGGAAAATCCAAGTCAGCTTGTATTTATGAGAATATACTGTGGTCTTAAAACATCATGTATAGTGACTGCTGCCCAGCTTTCAAATGCTCATGTTGATTACACTTCCCGACCTGCTATAGTGTTCAGAATTTCTGCAAAGAATGAGAGAGGATACGGACCAGCCACACAAGTTCGATGGCTTCAAGGTAAAGTCAGTGTCAGATGCAGCATTTAAATGGGCTGTAGCTGTGGCAGAGGAAATGGCGTTACTGTGTCTCTAGAACGAACACTTTACTCAGCAGTGCATGTGAAGTTGTTGAAATGTTGTTTTGTTCCTTATAGGAGTTTTCTTAAAACTTAGTTGTTGAATTTGGCACATTTTAAAAAACATTTTATATTTGTTCACAAGCAAAGACAAGCAAGTACTGAAATGTTGGTTATTCAGTCTTACCCAGTCCCTCAAATAATAAAAGCCTGGTAAGCTTCTGATTTCCCTGGGCTTCACTTCAGCTCAAAAGTTTTTTATTCTAATAAGAAGTAATCCAGCTACATACATGGGTGTAGTCAGGTGGGTTTTTTTCAATCTTTTCTCCCTCCTTATTAGAAAAAAATTTCATAAAGTGACATAAGGTGCATTTGTGTGACACACACACACTTCAAAGTCTGTATTACAGCCAGAAGTTTTGTCATCTTATCCCTGTGCTTGAATTTGTACAAGTTCATGATGAGTTGGGGATGGGAACCGATGAAAATAAAGTTTAGTTTTTAGCCTGATCAGTTCTCGCTCACCGTTTAAGCCAATCCAGGGGCTCAAAATGAGAAGGTTTGCTGGCTTCTCCTCTCGTGCTACTCCTTCCCCTTTCTGGCTTAGCTTTCTGCTAGTTGGGAGCTGCCTTTGCTCAGCAAGAGGTCCTGTGAGCATGGAGGAGGGTTAGGAAGGGCAGAGCCGGGGGAGTGTGGCTACCCCTTTGGCGGGCAATGAACTGTTGTATGGGTTTAGCTGACCTCTCTGGTAGTAGGCTATGACTCACAGGGTGTGGTTGGAAGCAAACTGTTGAATACACCACTGCCTGTTTTTTAACATGTGTTTTCCTAAGGTGGTGAGCAACAATGAAGAAGTTGTCTTCCCTAATACTGTTTTAACCCTTACCTGGGAAGGGCTTTGACCATGATTTGTATCCCAGAACTCTGAAACAGTAGCTGTTTGAAAGTGTTGGACCCTGTACAGGTTGTGAAATTAGGAAACGCTTAACAATGTCTCCTTCTTTTTGCAGATATGAAAACATCAAGCTCAAAGTAGAACCGACATAATGAATCTCAAGTTTCGAATGTAGTGTTTAATGTAACTGTTGTACTATTTGTAAATGCTACAAATATTTTATTTTTGCATTGTTTTTATCTTAAAAATATATAACCTTTTTTATGTTTGAAACATCAGCGTTACACAGCCTTGCTCAGGTATGAGTACCATATAGAAACTATATTGAAGATGGTGGGGTGGAGGACCATACTCATATCCAGTAGTGCTTTTTGGTAGTGGTAGTTAAAATGTAAGAAAATACACAATTTCAAATTAAAAATAAATAAATAAATAATTGGTACATGCCGTAATACTTGATGTAGAGTCCCCATGATTGCTACAGATCTTGCATAGATAATTCATAAGATTTGGTATATGAGCAAATTCTGTTTGGCTTCAGTTCTTTATACCACATTCTTCACTGTGGTGCCTGAGTATAGGGCAAAAATTTCCTGTTATTATATAGTAACTTAAAATGTATAAATATTTTAATATATACTTTTTTTGTAAAGAAATGATTTTTCTACTATTTGTAACAAATACCTTAATCTTGACAGATATCCCCCGAAGATTTAAAAGGAAAAAGATAAACGTAGTCATTTCTCCTATTACAAAAACCATAAATCCATTGTAAATGCACTACTAGTATTTAGAATTATCCTTTTGTAGTTGTACAAATCTTAAACTTGTAAATACCAATGTTTACAAGAGACCTTTCTGGTCTTGTATTAAAACTTCCATGAGATTAATTATCTTTTTTTGGTTTTTTGTTTTGTTTTGTTTTTGTTTTTTTTTGTTTTAAATCCATATGCTTTGCTTTTAGCATATGCTTGCTTTTTGCACTAATAATAACTTACCTCATTCCTGTGTTTGTAATCACTTGTGTTGCTTCCATAATGTTTCTGTAAAACTTCAATCTGAAAATTTTAACCAAAGTTTAGAATACATGGTAAGCAATTTTGCACATATTATATGGCAACTTTGAACATATTTATTCCAGTTAATCTTCTTAAGTGCTTGTTTGCTTTACCAGTATATTCTACCAATCAAATTCAGTATCTCCCTTTTACTATGCATCATTTTACATTAACTAGCTAGCTGATAATTCAACAAGCATTACTTCTAGGAATAGGTTGATCCATTCCTATGCTAAAAGAAAAAAAATTGTTCACAGTAGTGAAATAAAGGTAAACATTTTAAATGCTATTTATGTATCTATATATAAACCTATGTTTACCAAAGTGTAGAGGAAAATGGCTGAGTTGGACAAGGTCACTAGGTGAATAGACTGAGGCACCTAAATAAGATTTATTTTAAAATAAAATCTAAATTATTTACTGTGCAATGAAGTTTATACTTTGCACTTTAATTTTGCCCCAAATGCCAAAAGACTGTACGTCAATGTAGAATTTCTTGCCTCTGCCAGTTAAATTTGTCTTAAGAGCATTTGTAAATATATAAACTAAAATAAATGATGTGCCTGGTTTGGTGGGAGAAGTATCACTAAAATATTAGCGATTTAACAGTTCAAGTATCCCAGAGCAGATTTAATAGCCAGGTTTTTTAGCTACCCTGAAAATCAGGGTTGTAATGGAAGTGCTGATACAGCCTTAATTTATCGCAACACATCCCATGCTATAATAGCATATAAAAAGTGCTGGGGACCATAAGTCGCTACAGTAGTGTTAATTGTGGCACAGGAGTAATACATCTCGTTTTACTCCAGAGGAAAATGTTGTGTTTATGACAATGACAGATATCCCAGATTCACTTTAAACAGTGTTTATAGTATGAATGTATAGGACTTTTCCTGAAGTTAACTGGCTTTAAAATCTTTGTGTTTTAATGGTCCATTTCATCAGGTATGATCTCACTACCAATACTGTCTGATAACTAAAATACCATACACCTGAACTGTTAACTAGAAGAATAGAACTTGTTTTTTCTTATTAGTACTGTGAAAGAAGCCTTTAGAGAAAACACTTGTGGCTTTGATTTTGTTGGTTGATAGCTGTGATTGTAGAGTTGTTATTTAAGAATAAATTCTGTTGGGTATGTCTGGGTGGAGTTTTTTTGCACTTGGCTTCACATGCTTTGCACAATTTCTTTTTCAGTGGGTATGTCACAACTACCAAAGGGTAAAACTGTGGCGTTTTCGATGAAAGTATAATGTCCTTGTAAGTGTGCTTTCTTCAGCTGACTTGACATAAGATGACACTTTCTCTTCTTTGTCCAAGTTGGGTGATGTTGAATAGGGATCATATGCAAATCTTCGGTTCCTCACAGTTTTACTTTAAAATGAAATTGTGGTACACGCTGTAAAATACACTTTGTGGTCTGTTTTTAGAACTGTATTTATAATGTCTAAATCCCACCTGTTTGCCTATCAACTAGATATCAGACAAATATTGATTGTTCAATTTTAAATTTGTTTGGAAGACTGCTGACATCGGCTCTTTGAGAATCTGTGTCGTCCATTTATTTCATATATCGCTAAAGGACATGTAACAGAAGCTGAAATCTATCAGGTGACAGTATCCATATTGTAGAAATGTCTAGGTTTACTAAACTCCTTAGGGAAGTTGTGACTGTATAAGTATAGGACAGTCATGCCGGTTATGGCAGACACTGCTACAACTTCACCTTAAGAATGTTCTTGTGACAGTGGAAATGAAGTGAACAATAACCTACACTTTGTGTTTTCAAAGTAATTATAGCAATATTTTTTGAATGTAGTTTGGAGTAGAGCACATGATCATGCCATCAACTCTGAAGATATAGTAAGTATTACTGTTGTTGCCTGATATTTCAGGATAGCGAATTTGACGTGAACTTAGTCTTACAGCCTGTTACTTAATAACCTCTACAAGGAAACTGACATTTTGTACAATTCAAGTTGATCAGTCTTATTTCAAAGCATTGTTTGTTCTTTGTAATAAAGTGGTTGTCCTATCAAACGCATTGTAAACACTGAAGTGTGTCTGTTTTTTCGAAGGTATACATGTACAAACTTCACATTTCTGCCCTTTAGAAAAGGGGATGATACAGAGAAGAGAGCGAGTATATTTGTTTTGGTGGGGGAGAGGGTTTAATTGTAAGCATTGTAATACCGAGTATTACTCTGCCATAAAAATGATTTCCCAAGTTACTTCGATTACCTCATGGGGATTTTTTTTCTTAGTTGAGGTTCCCCAATTTCCCCACCCCACCTTCTCCTGCAGTTGCTGCATCTTTACCATCGCTCTGCCCCCTTTGTGCCTTTGTGCCGTGCAGCTCACTGGCCACCGCCTCTGAAATGCAATTTTGAAATGACTTCCCCTGTCTATACTGTGGTTATGGTGCTGCTGCTCAAAATGAGCGACAAAGGGTTTGGTGTTGCCTTGTGACTGTTCGTTGAAAAGGTGTGAGAATTGCGTGTGTGTCCAGCTCTACTCAAAATGTCAGTCTTGGGGCAGGTGGCTAAACTTCTACGGCAGTTGGCTGAGGGGAACTCCTGGGGCAGTAAGTAATACACGTTTATAGAGAGGAGCAGAGGGGAGCGAGTGAACTGAAAGACCTACAGGATTGTTTCTAGGCCTCTAAGAGACTTCACAGAAGGAGCAGACAGCTTTTAGCAGTTTCAAATTGACTCCTCCTTTTTGTTCCTAGCTATTATAATAGAGTAACTGTTGTTGTCTTATTTTCAATTATTTGTGGTCCTTGCATTAGTGGGAAACAAATGGGAAAACCTAAACAGTAAAGAATTCATTCATTGTGCTTTTTATTTTGTTAATCTTCTCAGAGTAGAGTTATTTTCTCTTTAAGGCAGACTTGAATTTGCTGTATGAATTTAACTTAAAAATCACTTTTTTTTTTTCTTTATAGTGTTAGCTGGTTCCTGGTGTATTTTTATAACATTTTCTAGTCAGCTAGAGGCCAGGACTTTTATTCTGTGGCTTCCAGTTCTGACACGAGCATGTCCAGATTCCCAGGGCAGGGGTGGAGCACTGACTGCTGGCATTGTGTTAGCAGTTGATGTGTTCCTCCTCCTGTTAGTCGTTGTGAAATCTTCATTTTGGTGTGTTTTCCACTGATCTGAAGCTATGTGGAGATCCCTTTTACTAGGATTTCCAGAAGTTAATTGAAAGTAGCAGGATGGAGAGCTTAAAACGGATCCTCTTTCTCCATGAATGCGCTTTTAGCGTACTGCACCTCCAACGCTTCTTCCAGAGAGAGGAAATCCCCGAGACGTGCGGTGGGGCGGGGGGGGTAGGCTGGACACACAGCCAAGTGCCAGCGCGAACGAACGGTGTCGGGTCTCAGCCAGAGAATTTCTCTCTCTTGCACCTGCAGACCTCTGCTGTGGCCTTACACGGGCCTGGTTTGGGAAATACCGCTATGAAAATCACAAACCAAGCCCAGGTGCCATTGCCTGGCCCGAGGACAAACGATTCGGCAGTGTCCATGAGGTGGCACACTCCCGTCTTCCTCATGCCAAGGGGCCGTGGTTGAACCCACTCGAAAGAGCCTCTGGCAAATGTCAGCCCCCAGCCGGGGTCCGGGGGGAGCCTCGGCTGCGAACAGAACGGGTGCTCAGGACCGTGGGGTTTGGTGCTGGAGACGCAGCCCCTCTTGCCCCCTTCTCCCTCCCTTTCCTTGCCCGCACACCCCCCAGCCAAGCGGAAGAGCCCTTGTTTGGCCATGCCGCTATCGACAGTAGCGGGAATTGCTGCACCGAGAAAAAGAACGGATAATGGGGAGACTTGTGCCTGGAAGGCATGAGGCAGAGGGATGCTGATGTGTTTTAGGCACCCTGTTTAATTTCGGATTATATGAGGTGGTTTGAGTTTGCTCTGCTGGGCTCATCAGCCCCACGAAGAGGCAGGAGCAGTGGAGCAGAAGAAAGGGAGGAGAGGGGGAAGGAAGAAGAGGACTGGGATGGGAGGAAGGCCCAAGAGATGGCTGTGAGCTAGTGGGCCCATTTGGCTAACTCCATCCGTATGTGCCTAATGCTAGGTCATGAAAACCTGGCCCCTAAAAAGGGGGTAAGTGGCTCCTTGGTCTGTTCCCGAAATCCTTCAAAGGCCTGAAGTACTTTGCGTTACTTGTTGAACTTCTAGTCCTGCCAACAACAAAAAAAAAACCCAAACCCCAAAACTACCAGTGGGGGCTGGGCTTAGTTTGCTGTCATTGTTTTATTGAGGGGGTTCTTGCCTCTCGCAAGCATCTGCTTTTAATATATGATGTAATTGCTAAGTTGGTACAGCAGCTCCTTAAAATGAAAATTAAGGCTCGGATATGGTTATCTTCAAAGAGAAAGAGGGACAAAGCGTTTCAGTGTGTGCCAAATGGTAAGTAGCGTTCAGAGAGCTATATCTGTATCTAATGAGATTACAAAATACCATTCTCTACACATGGAAGTTATCAATGTACAATTATTTTCAAGTAATTCTTAAAAGAGGCACACTGGGTGTATGCCACCTTAGGAGGTTCAAAACCACCAGTTTCTTGGTTTTGTTGTTTGCATTTTCG